TGTGTCATAAAGAGAAGTCAGTGTCTGAAGCTGACAATTTGGTGACCCGCGACGTGATTGCGATGAAGACTTCTGGAGGAGGCAGGTCCAAGACGTCACTTTGCAAGAATCCCAAAAAAGACATTGCAAAAGAGCGCGCTGAAAAAAAAAGGTCGAAAAATGTGACTATACTTATTTTACTGGGACTCTTGCGATATCTAATTGAGTGGTAATTTTAAAGGAACTATAAATAAATTAGCAATTTGATAAATAATTAAGAATTGTGTTAGACTTCACGTCAAGAAAGTCAAAATAAGTGGCTTTAATGGCCGGAATCGTGTTATAAACTTCACGGAAAAAAAAAGTTGGTGAATCAAAAAAAAATAGATAATAGGCTTTAAGTAAGATAAAGCGTAATTGACAAAGTTAAGTAATTAGTGCCGTGTTAGGCTTTGCACGAGAGAAAGAGAAAAGCTTTTATAAGAAAATATATGCTGTGGTTAAACTTTTACGCAGAAAAAAAACAAAGCTTTTAATGAAGTTTATATAAAAAACTTAAGTTGCGCACAAAACAGAAAGGAAGCAATTTGGAACAAAAGAGTAGTAGATTTGGATTGGCTCTGAAATGAGAACCAGAAAAACTTGCTGGACGCTCTGTTGTTTTAACACGTCCGCAATTGAGAACATGCTTTTGCTTACTGCTGACGTCAAACCCTGTGAAGCCAAGGAAGCTCATCCAAGGAAACGAGGAAGTAGCATGTAGGAAATTTGCCCCATCTCCAACCAGTGTTAATGTAACATGTAAAATCTATGAGTGGAATGCAGTTCAAAAATGTAATTAGTGAAAAAAACAACAACAAAAATGCAAACTTTTGAGTAGGAGCTGTTGCAGCCTATAAAGGCCATATTCGAACTATGGTTGAAATTTAAAAGAGTACATTGATTTGGTTAAGAGTTTTTCAACCAGCAATTTAGTGAGTGAATAAATGACTATTAGTGTAGCACTTTGAGAGGTTTGATGAAAAAGTAAAAGCTGTAAAGCTTGTTTTGTTTGTTGTTGTTTTTTAAAGAAAGTCTGTCATGAAAAGACTTCACTGTTAGATCAGGTTAATATAACGAGTTGAAAAGAAATTCTATTGTTTTTTTCAAGTGAACTTTACTGTGAAGGGATATTCTGTAAATCAAGAACTTGAACGTGAATTTGTTCAAATTATGTGTAATGAACGACGTACGTCACTGTTGGGGTTCAGTTAAATGTCGGAATTTGACGAGTGACGATCTGCTCGCACTTCACCTCGCGAAACCACAGCCGCGTGTCAACGTGAAGGCGACTCCACCGGCAGCTTTAGCGGAACGTACGGGCTCTTGTGTCTCTCAATGGGAAAGTCAATCAAACTTGACTGGGCGCGCGTTTAGCTGCTTGTATTTACCTTCTGTACAGGCTGACCACGGCAAACGCAAGGATTTCAAAAGTTAATTTCAAAGCACTAATTAACAGTCTATGTGGATCTGGGCTCTTTCACATGATACACAACTGCCCTGGGAGCACAATGTGCTGATGGTAAATGCACAAATACAACAATAGATACATGCTCTCTGTGTATTTTGACGGGGATACGCGCCTACGCTCGTGTAGAGCGTCAAAAAATAGGATGGATCCTATTTTCTGAAATCTACACGCACAGGACGTGCTGCTCCGCGCGCGTATTATTTTTCTTGGTACATATGTCAGTAACGCGCGTCACAATGCTTTTTTAACCTGGATTGAAATGGTGTTTTTTTTCGTTTTTCTTCATACAAATTTGCTAAGTGATCCTGAGCGAAAGGACCGACGCAGAAGTCCGCGCTCCACCGAGCTAAACGCAGCTGACGCCCGATCGCACTCGGGGTTCTCTCAGGGGCGGTCCTAGATTCCAAGTTCTAGTCCAGGATTAGTCCTGGTTTGGTCCTGGTTTAGTCCTGGTTTAGTCCTGGTTTAGTCCTGGTTCAGTTCTGGTTTAGACCTGGTTTAGTCCTGGTTCAGTTCTGGTTTAGTCCTGGTTCAGTCCTGGTTTAGACCTGGTTTAGTCTTGGTTTATTCCTGGTTTAGACCTGGTTTAGTCCTGGTTCAGTTCTGGTTTAGACCTGGTTCAGTCCTGGTTCAGTCCTGGTTTAGACCTGGTTCAATTCTGGTTCAGTCCTGGTTTAGTCTTGGTTTAGACCTGGTTCAATTTTGGTTCAGTCCTGGTTTAGTCTTGGTTTATTCCTGGTTTAGACCTGGTTCAGTCCTGGTTCAGTTCTTTTTTAGTCCTGGTTCAGTTCTGGTTTAGACCTGGTTCAGTCCTGATGTAGACCTGGTTTAGTCTAAAATAAATGCAGCCTTTCATTTACAGATCTCACCTAAATATAAAATTAACTGAACTTTGAACTAGTTCAAAATTTAAATTATGAACTATGAACGTGAACTATTCATTTTGAACAAGTGTGAACTGAACTTTGAACTAGTTCATGAAAAGTGTGAACTTGCACAACACTGTTGACATCCAAGTGTTGAAAATTTGAAGACAGTTTGGATAGATATATTTCCACAAACTTGCCTCTCCTGTAAAGTAAGTGAGCTGTATGTTTTCTTCCCCAGGTGTTAAAGCTGGTAGATGATTTAAGAAACCACCCCGGGGCAGTCCTGATGGCAGAGGGCCACCCTTTGGTCATCAGCTCTGATGATCCGGCCATGTTCGGTGCCTCGGGTTTATCCTATGACTTTTATGAAGCTTTTGTTGGATTTGGGGGCTTAAGGTCCAACTTAGGCACCCTCAAAGCACTGGCTATGAACTCCATAAAGTAAGACTGAGTTTATAGGGTGTTTTTCAATGAGCTAATGTGAATATCTTAATTACTGTCATAATGCCTGTGTTATCTTCCAGGTACAGTTCATTACCCGCCCAGCAACGAGATAAAGCTTTGGCTATGTGGCAGAAAAGATGGGACAAGTTTATATCTGAAAATACTTTAATATCAGGGTTCTATCCAAAGTTCATATTTTTAACAGGAAAAAAAATACAGGCTGTATTTACATAACAAGACAAGACATTTTGTGATTTGCTTATTGTAATCATTTAAATAGTGATTTGTAGCAGTGTTGGAGACACATAATTTAAATTCAGCCTTTAAAACTGTGACAAGAAATTATCGTTTTACAATTGCACTTTAGACTTTTATGTTTTTTTAAGAGTATGAACACTGGATTTTTAATGTGATGAGTGCTTTCAAATCTTTGGAGACAATTTTTAAAACATATTTTTTCAGGTGAAATGAATGGAGCTCAACAGTGACAGCTCGCTCCGGTCCCGGAAGTAAAATTTTCATTCATTTTTCCAATAGATATTAAAGACATTGTGGAGACTAAACACCTATCTGCTAACTAATATTCAGAAAGCACATTTAAAACACAAGATTATGCAAAATGCTTTAATAACTGAGTGGTTTCAGAAACAGATTTTAAATAAAATGATAGGTCTGGGTAGGGGTGTCAAATTATCGCGTTAATTGCGATTAATTAATTACAGTCATATTTAGCGCGTTATGTTTTTTAATCGCGTTAATCTCATTTTTAATCTCTAACTTTAGTGTTTCTGTATGTGAGTTTATTTATTATAAAACCTGTTTTTATGTGTTGTTGGGACAACAACACACACACACACACAAAACACATTTATAAATTTTTTATTTCGGTAATTCCACTCATTGTCGGAAACCCACACAAAACGCGCGCAGTAAGAGCGATGTAAACGTCATGTTAACGCTGGCGGCGTCAGTCGCACAATGGACGAGGTCGTAGAGCCAGTAGAACAGAGGCAGCAGTGCACAGGTAAAAACACATTTGTGTCTTGGAAATTATTCTCCCGACGTGAAATATAAAAGAAAATAACAAATATAATATCGCCTGAAAACAACCTGCATAGGCTCATGATGTCTGCACTACTGTCCTATAGTGACCTGCCACATGAGGGGACACGCACACAAACACACACAAACAAACACACACCTTCATCATCGTCATTAACCTGAGAACGCGCGGACCACGTTTCCTTCCGTAGACACTGCGCGGACACCGACGTGCTCCCGTGAGCCGCGTGTGGATCGTGTTTTCTCGCGTACGCGGCGTAAACTGCGCTTCCTCCTGTGCGCCTCTAAACCAGAACTAACACCAAGACTAAAACCGGGACTAAACCAGGTCTAACCCAAAACTAAAACCAGAACTAAAACCAGGTCTAAAACCAGGTCTAAACCAGGACTAAACCAGAACTAAAAACCAGAACTAAAACCAGGTCTAAACCAGGACTAAACCAGGACTAAACCAGGACTAAACAAGGTCTAAACCAGGTCTAAACCAGGTCTAAACCAGGACTAAACCAGGACTAACACCAGGACTAACACCAGGACTAAACCAGGACTAAACCAGGTCTAAACCAGGACTAAACCAGAACTAACACCAGGACTAAAACCAGGATTAACCCATTCCAGGACTAAACTAGGACTAAAGTAGGTCTAAACCAGGTCTAAACCAGGACTAAAACCAGTGATCTCATATATATTTCTCTATCAATAATATTTTTAATATGGTTAAGGAAAGACTGGACTTTTTATTGTCTTTAAGTAGACAAAAGTTATTATGTTCAGATTTCCTCGTCTTTGCTACTTTACAGCAAACAGTTTATTATTCATGGAGACTTGGGCTCAACAGCCAAATTGAAGAGATTTGTTAAACAATAAATGACTTTATCAAGTCACTTTTTTAAATCTATATTAGTCTTTTGATCTGCCACAATAATGTAATAATGAATTTAAATGAAAATACCTCAAATTGAAGGCTTTTCTCAGCAATTTTTAGGTGAGATTAAAATGAGATTAATTAGATTAATTAATTACAGATCATAATTAATTAATCTCTCAATTTTTTTAATCACATGACAGCACTAGGTCTGGGACTTGGGCAGTCACTGTTGAGATCCACTGTGTGAATGAATTTTATACTTACCGTTATTATCTGCCTTTAAAGCTGCCCAAACAACTCCGTTCAATGACAAATGAATGTTGATTGCTTATCATGATTTATTATGTGTTTTGTTGTTATTTTTTGCATAGCTTATTTAATTGCAGTCCAATACGACTTTCATCATCGACTGCAAGTGTTGAACTGGGTGAAGAAACTCTCAGTGACAGCGCCCTTTGAAATCGCCGGTTTTCTTTAAAGGCAAAAAACAAATAGAACATATTGTTAAAAAGTGCATGCATGTTTTGTTGAATACTTTATTTTGTTGAATACTTTGTTGCTATTTACATTTGTTTCCTGGTCTCTGCTAACATGTGGTTGGTGCTGTCCAGGTGTTTCCTCATTTGTTTGTTGAGTTTTGCCTGTTGTCTCTCAATGAGTGTGGCCGTCCGAGCTGAATCAATGCGGATGCTGTCATAGTAACGCTGCTCATTTTCCTCACTCAGTTTTTGTCTCTGCAAATACGCACACAGCAGTAGCTTAAATGTGTATTGTGTAACTTTTCTGGTGGAGGGTCTGTCATGTGCTTTTTTTCTTCCATTTGTTGTTGCTGAAATTCTTTAAGCTTTAAGATCTCTTTCCTCTCTTTTTCCACTATGCTTTGGGGGGAGTCTGCATTGATCTCTCCATCCATGAAATCCCAAACTCCGGTGTCCTTATCCTTAGATTGCTGACGCCTTTTTTCTTCTGACTGGCATGGAAAAACAGTGGTAGTTATTTACACATCTTATTTTTTATCTAACACAACCACTAACCCATTCCACCGGCATAAATAAAAGCTCTTCTCGAAGACAAACTGAGTTTTTGTGTGTGCATTTTCCATTTTCATGCTTCCAAATTGATTGAATTGAATCAGAACAAGAAACATTAGTCTTATATAGTGCTTTTCCAGACGCACAAAGGCACTTTACAATTTTGGACATTATTCATTCACTTCATTACTCCTGGTGGTAAAATACTGCCCCCACTGTCTCCCAACCAAGTACCAGGCCTGGCTTTGCTTAGCTTCAGAGACCTGACAGGATCAAGCTTTGACAGACTTGTCCAGAACTGTGACTGTTTACATGTCTGGGTCACACCATCTCATATTTGCAGATCTTATCGGGAGAAGTGGTTCATTTCAGAGTGTGCTTAGTTACTCACATTTTGGTATATGGCAAATTGTTAGAAAGTTGACTTACCATTGCAAGATTGAAATCTTTAGTTGCCATGACTTCGGCTTTTCGGTTCTCCATCTCAAGGTTTTGCAGCTCTAGAGCCATATTGTTGACCTCCACCATGAACTGGTCATAGTTCTTATCTGAAAACAGAAATCTACAGCATCTAACCAGTTCACAAGCTCTATAGTTTTATAACAAAGACATTAAAGGTCCTATAATACACAACATGGATTTCTTGTGCACTTTCATAGATATAGAACATTATAGGGCGCTTTAAGCAATGTTATAATGTTATCACGTCATCCAAAACATACCCTGAGTTGTGTGTTTGTTTTATTCACACGTGTTTGAGTCTACATCTCCAAAGCTCAAAATGCAAAAAAAGTGGTAGTTTTCAAGTTAACAGCTCCTTTTACCGTTTGTTGAGAGATCAGCCATTCTGAAATGATCCAAATGACTCTAGTGAAAGTGAATGGAGTTTGAAAACACAGTGGAGCACTTCCTGTATTACCACATGACATCACAAGCTGGATTGCTTTTAATTTGAGAGAGGAATTCAGCCAAAATGTGCAAGATTTGTGTGAATGAAACAAAACACAACTCCAAGTGTGTTTTTGATGAGTATACAACAACAGCAGATCAGAAAATAGCTTAATGAGCCCTGTAATTATTTTTATGAATTGTAATTCATAAAATAGCACCCATGCCCTTTAATAGTGTTACACCAGATCCTTATTTGATATTTGACTCTTTGATAAAAAAACAACACCTACCTTCCATCTCCTGTTTGTGTCTTAGTCCTTGGCGTTCTGCCTGCTGTTGTATGAGCCAGTGGCTGAGCTGCTCCCTTTGTCTCTGCTGGCGGTCTTTACAGTTGGGGTCTTCACCGGGCAGCCCGGGGATCATCATCTGTGCCTCCTCAGGACTCATGTTTTTGAGCAAGTCTGGGTCATTCAGGTCAAACTCCCTCCGACTGGACGGCTGCTGGTACGTCTGCCTGAAGATCACCATGTCCTTGGCTATTTGCTGTTGTTGCTTTTGTTGACGATGGGTCAGAATGCTGGCTACCTTTTGGTAATGGAGCATCTCTGCATCTGTGGGGAAAAATGTCTTATGATGTATGTTATGATGTTGTTTCCTCATCAAAAAACATACCTGGAGTTATGTTTTATTTCATTCACACATGTTTGAGTAATCCTTAGTTAATAATTTGACTACATCTCCAAAGCTCAAAATATTCTGTTCCACTTTGTGATGTTATGTGTTACTTTAAATTAACAGCTACCTTTTACATTTAGTTAAACAATGATGGGCAATTCCAGGGCTGAAATAATCCAAATGATTGTAATGTATGGTATGGTTATTCCTGTTTTACCACATGACATCACAAGGTGGAAGAGAGAGTGTTTTCTGCTTGAGAAAATAACTGTGTTAAACATGTGTGAATGAAACCAAACACAACTCTTGCATGTTTTTGATGAGGAAAAAACATCATAATTAAAATAGTGTAACATTGGGCCCTTGTGAACTTTGTTCAATCTTGGTCTTAATTAAACGAGTAGACAATAAATGATCCATTATTTACTTTGGCAAAGTGCTGTGGTTATGGTCCTCTGAGCCAGCTATTTTTTCATACTAAAAACTTAAAATTTACTTTGACTTTACATGACACGTGTTTGTTTATTGAGGCTATTTGTCGATTTGAGGACAGTTACCGTAGTTGCACTTCTAAGTTATACCACATAATGACCATAGTGATGGGACATAACAAAGCAGCCTCACCGCTGGCCTTTTGCTTCTCCTTTTCCATTGCATATTTTAGTTTCTTTTCCTTCAGCTGCATGTCCAACGTTTCCTTGTCAACCTGTGTGCACAGTCAGAAATAAGAGTCATTTATTGTCAATTATAACTCTCTCCCAGGCACATATTCCCACTGTGCTGTCTGATAAACAGGCCACGCTCACCCGTATGGTCCGCTCTTTGTAGTTAAAAATTCTTTCTCGCCTTTCAGCTTCTTTGGTTCTGCGATTTTGCAGTTTAGCCGCAGACGCGCGATCCAGCAGCAGTTCTCCAAACATTTTTTTTTTTTTTACTTTATAAGTTCCTGAATAAAAGCTTAAAGGGCTACTGTCTCTCTCTCTCTCGGGAGGGCGGCTGTGAGAGAGAAGACGAGACGACAGTTCAAACATACTGGTTGCCATGGTGACGGATGATTTACGGACATTACGGACGGATGGATTTTGTATTATTCTGTATTGTAGCAACCTGCAATGATGAAAATGTTAAAACCTTTTTACCTCTTTATAACTGCTATAAACGCATTGTTATTTTATGTTTTATGTTACGGTCATGACCCTACGTGACTGGATAAAAGTTGGGAGAGGAGGGTACAGTACAGGACTGTGTTAAATAATAAACGGGATTGTTCTTGTATTGTGTTTATGGTCGGCAGTAACCTTCAGTTCTCACAATAAAGCGGCATGTTGTGAACTACTCTCGTCCATTCATTACCAACACAAAGACTACAGTATTATAGCCTACTGCAGGATAGGCCTTCATAAATAATTCGCTCACTTTTTATTTGTTCCCTTTTGCTCAGCTGTCTTGCATCATTGAACGTGAGCAAATCTGAACATAGTCCAATTTGAACAATTGTCTCCAACTTCCTTATTACAAGTTCCCGTTTAAATAGGCCCAAACCTACTCCTACTAGGGCCCCAAAATCAGACATAGGTTACATATATGTAATCTGCTGTTGGACATGGCTACTATCTTTTTAATGTAATCACGGTTATGACGATGGCGCACCACCCCTAAACTTGCAGTGCTGCAGCTTTCCAGTAGGTGGCATAAAGGGCCTGCAGGTTGGCTACTGAACCTGGTATAGTCATGGGAGCAGAGTTGGCAGCTTCTTTAGCACTTGTGTGTGTTTTTAGTCATGCAAGTATGAGAGCCATTGTGTTAGTCAAACCGAGCTTTTAGTCTAAAGGTCAGTGATATTGATATACATGTCGTCATTAATTTTACCCAGTTGTAATTTAAAAAGAAGCCTATTTTTTTGTAGGCTACAGGCTTACTGAATACCTTGTAGCCTGTAGGATGCAAGCATGTAGAAATATTTTTTCACAAAACATACCAGCACCCTGAAAGCACAAAGCCTTAAAGCAGAAGCCTTATAACTGTTGTTTCTTTTAATGGTCATACAGATTTATATTGTGTATTTCTTATCTATGGACCATATGTGCTTTCTCTGTCCTTAAAATGTGATCATATTCTTAATCTTTATTAAGAGAAAACTAAAGCCCATTGACATATCAATGCATGTGACTTTATAGTACCAGTGTGCATAAATAATACGCCCAACTTTATGTAAACAAAAAAGTCCTTTGTTGAACATAGTTTTTTTTTATACAATCACTTTACACTTTATACTTTCACTTTTCACTCACCAAGCACAGCACAGCTGTTTTGTGAAACAGGTTAAATTAATACCTTTAAAAATGCCACAAATAGATATAAAAATTTGTCCTTCCATTTCAAGACAATCACGGCAGTGGGTAAAAAGTCACTGTAGGTATCTTTCAATAAAGTGTGTAAAATCCCTCAGCTGTCCAGGTAGAATCCAATGGGACAAAAATTTATTGACTTCAGCTGAAAAATGTAATTTCTCCTTTGCCATTTCTCAATAAACTATGCTCTTTTAGTCACAGTTAAACTTATCAGATTGGTCTGAAATGTATAGATTGAGCAAAATCTATGTTTCTTTTGGATAAGATTACTGAAAGAAAAATAATGAAACAAAATGCACTTGATACCTTATGAAAAATGCATTCAAAATAACTTTCTTTTGTTACATTTTCAACAAAACATACACGTTGTTCAAAAGTCTTTTATGATATTCTGCACCTCCCACCTTTGGCCAGTGCATTCCTGTATTACAAGTTTAGAATTGTGAATTTCTAGGCATCTTTTTGTTTCTCTATTCTTCAGTTCTTTACCCTGAGAAAAATTAACAAAAACAACAAAAATTTTAATAAAATATAATACAAATAAATCAGATTTAATTCAGGATTTTTGCCCATACCTGTGAAAAATCCCAGTAAATGCTCATTTTCTTTTGCAGAGCCTCCCTACAGTTGAAGAGACCTGGCTCAGTCTCCTTGTTGCCCTGGTCGGTTAAGCAGCGATTGTCATTGTACTTATGAGACTTGATGCCGCCAATGTAGAACTCACCATTTGTACGGTAAAATACATGCTTGAAGAGGATAAAATATACAGTGAACTAGAATTCCTTTATAATAAAATCAAGCACACACATCTCTGTAAATTACCTGGGGTCCATAGTAGTAGCAAGCAAAAGCAATGGGCGTGTGACCGGGTACAGGGCCTTGGTCTATGCACATGTTAGCATCGAGATTCTTCATCTGAAATACAGAATTTATATTTTATAGCTAAATCTAATATAGCTTTTATTATCCTTGTTGTCTCCATGAAGATACTATTACTTTGCTTGGAACGTTCCACTATATGATATTAAACCTACAGTATTTATCTCCATCGAGACAAGCAATGAGATAAATTCTAACTTGATATTCCAACCAAAGCAATAACATCTCCAAGGTGGCAAACAGATGCCAAACTCTGCACGAGAAAAGTTACATGATGCATCTTTAAAGAGGCCCATATTGTACTGTTTTCTTGTTTGTTTTAATATTGTTTCCTCAGCTTGTCTTCTCTCAAACAGAAAACACGCTGTTGCACGTTGTAATGTCATGTGGTAATACAGGGACTCCATTGTTTTCAAATTCCATACAGTTTCACTTTGGTTCATTGGGATTGTTTCAGCACTGGAATCTCTACTGAACGAAAAGTAAAATGTAGTTGCTAATTTAAAAACTATCACTATATGACATTGCAAGTTGGAACACAGCATTTTGAGCTTTGGAGACATATACAGACTTATAATAATTACCAAAACACAATGAGGTAACAATATTCTAACATTTAAACTCACACGAGTCAATTTTGTTTAATAAAGATGGTGATGGAAAAGTCTACTTACTCCTCCATATGCCACCAGGTTCTCCCAGGGGTCCAATTTAGGATACACATTTTCCAGATACCACTTGAAGGGTTTGCACTTCAGCTTCTCCCTCAGCTTTTTACGTTCACTGACGTCACCGATGTCTATCCCGTGATTCTGCCGAGACAATATCATGCAGACATAGTATTATCTTTTGCAGAGTCTGGTATTATGATGTCTGTTCAAATAAGAATTTCCAAGTCAAATATTTTAGGCATGATAACTCTGTTTACATCGCAAACAGCATCTCTAGTGGAATGTTTTTCAAAGCACTGGACTGTACAATGACTAAAGAAAGGTGCAACTACAGATATACTGGTCACAATAATTACTGTATTGATTTATTGTTCAATATATGAAAGCTAGAACTATTTATTTTGAGACTCAGTATTTATCACGTGTACTTTTTCTTTCCGATAGTGGAGAGATATTTGCCATTTTTATCTAATAATGTAAGATCTGAGCTGTAGCGAGTAGAATAAATAACTACTATCAGTTATTTCTGCCACTTATTTGTTGCAGCTCAGGCTTTTTAATGATACTGTCTATTTAATTGATTGGGACTATCCTGCTTTGTGACAGTGGCATAAAGTAGTTTCAATATTGTCGTTTATCGCAATATTTCTCTGTAGCAAAATCTCACACTGCAGAATTTGTTATTGTGACAGGCCTAACTACAGATATTAAAGGTGCATTGTGCAACGTTTGCAATGTTTCAAAGTATGGCATTAAACCTTTCTATTAAAAATCCCTGTTTTTATGATCTTAACATCTCTGTACATTGTCCCTTTAAATGAAGACTAAACTGTCTTCATGGAGACCAAAGCAGACCAAGTTACAGGTCAGATCTGTGGAGAGGCAATCCTGCTCACAGTCAGAATGAATGTTTTTTTTTTCTAGGTATTTCTTAGCTATAAAACCACCTGTAATTGAATAAATGTAAAGTAGAGCTGTTTAATGTCATACTGTGTCATATTCTGCAGATCCATAGAAACAAGAGGGTGACAGACCCCCACCAAAAAGTTACACAATGCACCTTCAATGTAACAACATAATCCGAGCCCTTATAACCTGCATAAGAGTTATGGACAGTTCTGAGAACAGTATTTGGACTTACCTCAAATGGCAAGTTCCATACAAGGTTAACATTGTGCTTGTATTCATCCATCCAAACTTCAGCCACTCTCAGAGCATTCCTCTTCATGGCCATGGAGAGATCTGGCATGTAGGGCTTGTGATTCCTCTCAATGTGGGCAATCTTCGAACATGGGACAACTTCAATACTTCCACCGCATGTCCATACCTGGGAAAAAAATCTGATTTTGACTTCATATTCTGTATATAATCCAGTGGCAATATATCTAACTACTCATTTTGTACTCAACACTGAAAAGAAAGAAAAGAAAGAAAGTTAGAAAGATAGATTTTCCATTTAATGACAGAGGTTTCATCAGGCCTAAGGAGCTAAATAATGATCTTGTGGCCAGACTTATCATTTTATTTGACATATTTTGATTCTATAGGACAAATTAATATCTTTTCTATAGCATTTTATTGTACAGTCTAAGACAAAATGTATGGGAAATGTACTTATCTAACCACAAACAGCTATAGAGACACACATAGGAAGAGGGAAGTCCACTACTATTGCCCAGTGACAGTGGGCAGTATTATATACAAAATTTGTAGCAGGAATTAAAAGTTCATGGATATTTTATATATTATGTTACTTACACGTATCCCAAGCTCAACGTTTTCTCCACCATAAACCTTCATGCCTTCATCAAGAACTCCAATTTCCCCAAGAAATTTTCGTTCTGCAACTAGGATTCCCATGACAGAGGGACTCCTGAAAAATAACAAACCATACATGTATGTTTTAAGACAAAACTTTTACTCAATTTTGACAGTTTTGAAATGTCTGATCTTACTTTCCGGGCAATGAGCTGTCTTTTTGTTCATAATATTCAGGTGTGAAGCTCTCATACATACACCACAGGGCCCAGTCAAATGCATGGGAGGCTGGCAAATACTGGATCACTTGAAGGTCATCAAAATTCACCCGATCAAATACAGGGGATGTTATGACAGTACGGTCCTTCTTGATCTGAGTTAACAAAGGTTCAGCCCTGTGTGTAAAAGAGGTGAGGCTTATAGTCATTTCTAAAGCAATAGTAAATAAAGCATCTGCTGACTGCCAGCTGCTTCTACACGGCTGATTGATGGTTATTGGTCACAGATGGAAGACGGTGCTTTCTGAAAAGTGTCCTGTTTCCTTAACTGAGCAAACAGTAACTGATAATAACGGATATTTGAATAAGCAAACTAAAATCATCCTTATGAGCAACTCAACACACCACTGGAGTTTAACATTTCTTACTAGGATGCAATTTTGTAATTATTAATGAAATAATGTTGATTTTAAAAAAGTACACTATGCAACTTTTTGGATATGTCAATGTTCTGCCTAGAATGTTCCACAGTATAGCATTAAACAGCTATTTTATTTTTTTTTAATACCTAGAAAAGCAGATGTTCTGACTGTGAGTGGGGTTGCCGCACCACAGATCTGGCCTGAAGTTTGGTCTGGTTTGGTTACCATGAGGATAAAAAGTTTTAATACCATGCTGTGAGACATTCCAGACAAAGATGGCCCCTCCTCCAGAAAAGTTACACAATGCACCTTTAAAGGGCCCATATTAAGCTATTTTTTGATATGATATAATATTGGTGCCTCATCACAAACATACCTGGCATTGAGTTTTGTTTCATTCACACATGTATCACACTCAAACCCTGAGAGTTCTTCTTGCAAACAGAGAACACCCTGTTCCACCTTGTAAAGTGATGTGCTAATACAGGAAGTAGTTTTAAACTACATACACCTTGACTCATTTGAATAATTTCAGCTCTGAAATAGCCCGTCTCTACTGAACTAAATGTAAAAGGAGTAAAAGGAAAATGTAATGACATCACAAGGTGGAACAGCTTTGGCGATGTGGAAGAATAAAAATAAAGGATAATGAAAAAATGTATGAATGAAACAAAACACAACTTCGGGTATGTTTTTGAGGCAGTAACATTTTAAAATGGCTAAAAGCTCACAGGAGTTTTGTGCAATATAAGACTTTTACTAATATAATAATACTTTGTGAATCTGTACTTGTAGAAAAAGCATAAAGCACACAAACTTGTCCTACCACAGCTCATGAACTTCTATGTGTGCATCCAAAATTGCCACCACGTCAGCAGTAGCAGCCCTCCAGCCGGATGCCCTGGCAAAGGCAAGGCCACGCTGTTCAGTGTGCCGGACTCTTATAAATCGAAGAGAGGGGTTTTCTTCTTCGATGCTTTTTATATAAGCGTCAAGTGGCTCCTTTAAGTTTTCTGAAAGAATGAGGCATGACAAAAAAAAAAAATCAAAAAAATGTGGCAATGCGATTTAGAGAACATTGGCACAATGAACTGGTTTTTCAAGTTGTTGGAAAAATACTGTAAAAAGGTGTATGAGGTTACACTATACATTAGATTTTATTTATTTCAGTTATTTCTGATTGGACACAAGTGGCAGATATGACATACATAAAGGTAAATCCCTACCTACCTAGGTAAATATGGGCCAAAAGATAAGATAAAGTTATGGTTAGCCTGATAAATGTTAGCTGTTAGCACCCTTATTTTTGTTAAATTAACCTCCTAGTGTTTAAACTGCTGATGTTGATAATATTCATAGTAGGGATTTAACAATAACCAAAACACTGTGCTACCGTATCGTCAAAGTTCTCAGAATAATATCGTGGACCATCACAGTATATAGAATTACAAGTCTCTTTGCTTTAATTAAGAGTTATGGTGAAGCAATAGCTAAAAAAGACAGAGAGAACTACAAAGACCATGATCCTTTGCTCCGTTTCAGTGTAGTCTACATGAAGAAAAAACAGTTCTAAACACGTTTAAGTCTTAGTTCTTAGGAAAAAGTTGCATATTAACATATTTTAGGTATTTTATTATTGTTTATTGTAGGCTACTTTTGTACTTTTCTTCTCAACTTTCTTTCCTCAAACTGTTTTTAATTCATGTAAAAAAAAAAAGAAAAGAAAATTTTTTACAAGTCATAGGCATTTAAATGTGTTTTGTAATGAACCCACCATTGGAGCTGTTGTCATCCACCATAATAATCTCCTTTAGAAGATGCTTTGGTGTTCGGTTCACAATACTGCGGATGGCCCTCTTAAGGACAGACAGAGCTTCGTTCAGGTAAATCAGAACCACGCCAATACTCGGCAGATCTTTAGGGTATGTCTTTGTCAAACACCTACAAAATGTGATTTAATTAGCCTATATAGCCATCACAACACACTCAAACACAATAGAGAATATAACTGAACACAACCAAATGCTCAATCAAATACAAAAGGGAAGGCGTGTCTACCTGGCACAATGGAAACAGGTGGGGTTATATTTTGATAACATTTCCGTTACTGTTTAATGTTGAAAATCAAGTTGGACCACACTGTCACACAAAGTGGAAATGTTGGACAAAATTTAGATCTCCATTATAATATTCAAAAACACACCTTCACACCCTGCTTATTTGCATACTGATAGTTCTTCTCACACTCTGTTCCACCTTCTGGTATTATACTGCATTAGAGGATGTGCTTTACTGTAATTTCAGATCTGAGATTGCCAGTCTGTATTGAGCTAGGTAAAAGGTAGCTGTTAACTTGAAATCTACCGCTTCATTACATCACAAGGTGGAACACAGCATTTTAAGCTTTGGAGATTAGAGAAATAATGTAGGATTACTCAAACATTTGTGAATGATACATAACACAACTCAGGTATTGTTTGATGAGGTAACAACGTTCTAACATGGCTTAAAGCCCACAAGAGTCAATTTTGCATAATATAGGAACTTTAAGACTTGACAAATGAGACTTTACCCTTTTTCTCTTGTGTCTGGAAGAACTCGATCCAGAGGAAGCCGGTCACTGAGGAACACATTATATCCATAGAGTTCAAATAAGGCCTGAGCTTCTTTCTGCTCATCTTCTGACAGATTAGCGCCCCACTCCTTAAACAGAGGCGAGTTGGGGAACAGTTTTGATTTCTTCCCCTCTGGCTTATTTTCCTCTTCTACCTTGGCCTGTTCCAATTCCTTCTTTTCTGGGGGTGGCTGATTCTGTGCCATGTTTTTATGCACAGCTCTGTCTTCTTCCAGTAATTTGTGCATGTCATCCTGCTTTTTCCCAAATGACTGAATGGCACTGTCTGCACAAAAAGAAGAAGAAATTGAAGATGGAATTTCACTTGTTATAATATAATGTAATATATAGTTGTTCAGTCTTGTGTTGAGAGAACATCAAAAGTTTTTCTATCAAAAAGGCTTTCCAGACTTATATATATATATATATATTAAAATTTTCCAAAAAGGATATGAATGTGTGCCATTATAAAAAGGGAAAGTTATAGCTACAGCTGGGGCATTTTTTTCTTAACTAGGTTGTAAAATGTAATTCCAGATTTTGCCTGAGCAAAATCTGGTTGTAGCATAATACAATGTTTCACCACTAAGTGAGAGCAGAACTGGTTGTCACACTTTTATACACTGGACTTTCTCAAAAATATTGCCTTTCAAATTTTCCATTTTGCTGCAAGTAAAAAGCACGAAGTCTAAAAATAATCACTTTACTTCTGTGTATCTTATTCTTCAAAAGTTACTGATCACTAAATACATATTTATATTTCATAAATGTGAAACAAAACTTAACGAATGAATTTTTCTTTCCCTTAGAAGTGAAAAATGTAGGCTAATGAGCAATAATTTTTTTTTAACAGAATAAGATATAGAACAACACATGGATTATTTTGTTATCCGTGACTTTAACTTGTTTATTAGATACCAAGCCTGTCTCCCGGGTAATGTCTCCCGGGTAATGTCTCCCGGGTATAACCTACTATCAGCCTTCTGTTAGTACAGTCTATACAAGTAAACAAATACATACTGATAAATAAAAGAATACTAATAAATATACAATAAATGCATAGACTTACTCAGATTATTGATGCTTACTTCCAGGTCAGAAAAACTTTTTAAAAGTCGAGGTGCGTCCAGATTCTGGACACTGTCACTCTCTGACCTCGAGCTCAGCTGCACGCCAATGTATAAAAAAATCACTATTCCTCCCAAGAGCAGGGAGATCTTCTTGACCCACGCGGCTCTCATGTTCAGCGCAAGGTGCCCATCAGCAAGTGGTTCACCGGACGAGACCGTGATCAGAAATGCGCTGCCACTGCAACTCGTCAAACAAGTTTGCCAGCGCCTCACATGATGCAAATCAGAACACCTGTGGGTGGCAGACGAGGATTGATCTGCAGAGTAGGCTACGTTTAAACCTAAAACTATTTTCAACTTTGACTTTTAGCCCTTTTTGCACCCTGGAAACCGCCCTTCATTATTTCACTTCTTCGAAAAAGCAGACGAGACGGACAACTTGGCTTTGTTCGGACCGGAGCGCTGCTCAGGATACTCCCGGCTTCGTCCTTACTCGGTTTACACAGCCTCTTTTCATCTTAAGTCCGCAACATTGCAAATAATAAGTCCACAATAGCCTGCGTTGAAACAAGAGCAGTTCACTCCAGATGAACATTTCTAGCTACTTAAACCAGCACCTTACCTTTTCATGACCCACATGTTGCTTTAGGCGAACCTAAGATAGTCTGGAACATGGACTGAAAATATAAAGATCATCATGCTGCATCTGGGTCAGAAAGACGCAGAAGGTCCAATGACAATTTGGCGACACCTCTGAACTTGAGTAGCTGAATAAATGTAAGACAGATCAGGTTTAATGCTACACTGGGGACAATTTCAAATAGGTTTAAAGCAAGCAATAACATCTGGACGGAAGCCAGAAAAATGACGGTCCCCCACCAGAAAAATCACAGTGCTCCTTTAAGTAGGCTCTTTTATAAAAAAAAAATAAATAATAATAATAATAATAATGATAAAATAAAATAAATGGTTGGGACTGTCACATGCTTTTTTCAATGGATATGTCACTGTTCTACCTGTAATGTTCCATAGTGTGACAATAAACAGCTCTACCAGGCATTTATTTAATTACAAGTGTTTTTACTGTTCAGTAATAATATGAAGAAAAGCATTTAATGCACACTCCACTAGAAAAGTTACACAATGCACCTTTAAGACTTGTTTTCTTAAGCAAACTAACCCATAAGTGAGTTGAGAATGCACATTATGAGAATGTAACACACACTTTTCACAATTTTATTTATAGCAACCATCTCAAACCGGGTGTGTCCAGGCTTGAGTCGCCCAACACTAAAACCACAGCTATGATTGTGTATCACAAATGCTGTGTTAGTGAATGCTGATAAACTAGTCTGATCAGATGATAAACAATAGGCCATCATCACAACTTATTTTTTCAAACAGGTGTGGCTTTGTGAGTCTATAGATGTTAGATGACATGTTCAAAACTCCAGCTCTGCCCACTACAATGCTGAAGGATAAGCTGATAGAAGAGAGTCCGCCCCCGAGCTATTTCCAGACATCTTTTTGTGCTTCTGTTTTTTATCACTCCACCCTGAAAGACAAAGAAATGTTGTTATTGTTAAAATTAAGTATTGGAATGTCATCTTTATTAATAGCCAAGTGAAGGTGAAGGAAATTATGGCTCAGTTACAGGTCTAACAACTAACAACTAATACTTCCCCATGTTACAAAGTCTATTTCCTTGTGTTTGTTGTCGTTTACTGCTTGTTTGGATTCCAATCATTATGAAACGCATACCTAATACACAAAGTTGACTCTTGTGATTTTCCATCCATGTTAGAAAGTTGTTACCTGCTCAAAAATAGGAACTGTGTTTTGTTTCATTCACACGTTTGAGTAACCCTATACCCTTGCTGTCTACCCCTAAACTCAAAATGTTCTGTTCCACCTTGTAATGTCATGAAGTGGTAGTTGTGAACTTACCACTTACCTTTTATTGTTTGTTTAGTAAAGATTGGCAGTTCCAGGGCTGAAATGACTGAAATTATTCTAGTGAAAGTGTATGAAACTTAAAAACAAGTGGAGCACTTCCTATTTTACCACATGACATCACAAGGTGGAGTGTTCTCTGTTTGAGAGAAGAATTTGCAGGACTTGTGCGTGCATGAAATAAAACACAACTCTGTGTATGTTTTATATGTTTTGTATGTTGTGTATAAGAAGGGCATGAGTAGATTCTACTTCTTGGTAAAGCTCAGGCTTTTCAACGTGTACAGCAAGTTACTGGAGATCTTCTACCAGTCTGTAGTGGCCAGCGCCCTGTACTTCGCTGGGATCTGCTGGGAGGGGGCAGCACCAGTTAAAGGGACATTGTGCAGATTGAGAAACTGATCTGTAAAGCTGGTCATCGGCAGATGATTGGCAGTGAGCTGGAGACATTTGTCACACTCAGGGACAGGAGGGCACTGGGCAAACTGCTCTAAAGCATAGACACTCCTGCTCACCCACTGCACCAGACCATAGAGGTACAGAGGAGCTCATTCTCCAACAGGCTCCTACAGCTTTGCTCAAACAATGAGAGATACAGGACTACATTCATACCATAATCCATACAGATGTATAACAACTCACCTTTATGTAATACATAACACTATGTCCTGTCAGTCATCATATCATCCTTCCAGTGTTTCTCCTTAAGACCTCTTGTATATAGCTGAGATATATTTTTATTACTATATTATATTAAATTTTATATTTGACTGTTTATATTTTCTTTATGACATAATATATTTCTATATTTTATTTTTACTTGTACACATACATTTATATAATTATGTCTTATTTGACACCAGTCTCTTGCTATTTTTCCTACTTGTTTTGTATTTATCATTACTATTTATGTTTTTGCTCATAGTTATTATAATGTGTGATGTGTGAGCTACTGTGTCCAAATAATTTCCCTTGTGGATCAAAAATGTGTGTCTAAGTCTAGGACTAAGTCTTTACCTGTGGTTTTGAAACATTTATCTACCGGTATCATACAATAGCCCCGTTTACTTCCTGTAAGAGTCTGAGTTTAATTTGCATCCATTAGAACCCAACCTGATAAAAGTTTTTTTTTAAACTAATGTGGCTGGACACACTAGTCTGTTCACCTAGCTGTGCATATGACTGAAATTTTTAGATTCTGCACTATTCTCTCTTCTCTTTAATGTTAATTTTATGATAATTCTTTATATTTTGATTTGTTTGTATTGTGATTTTAATGTCTTTCTTATTCTGTAAAGCACTTTGAACATCAAGCTACCTTTTTAGTCGCCTATAACAAATATAATAGACATGAGGGACAATGCATAGAGGTTCTTACTTGTTTAAAATCCCAGAGCATGTGCAGGTTTTGGGACCTTGCTAGTTTGCAGTCTTGCAGTAATGGTGTGCTGCTACTTCCTGGATCGACCAGACACCAATTGTTGTTGTAAGTGTGTGATCTAATTCCTCCAATGATAATTTGTCCCTCAGTGTTATAATAGCAATGCTAAAACAAAACAAACGGGCTGTTAAACTGTTATGTTAAGCAAAAATTGAAATGTTGCTTGTCAAACCTGTGGCTGTTGATAGTTGCATTCATACAACACAGGAATGGTTCCTGGAACAGGTCCTTGATCCAGACAGAACTTCACAGAAAGACTGTTTTTGAGCTGTGGAATAAATTAAAGGTCCCATATTACGCTATTTTTTGATCTATGTTATAAGGTTTCCTCATCACAAACATACCTGGAGTTGTGTTTTGTTTCATTCCCACATGTTTAACACAGAAATCTTGCTTTTTTTTTTCTCTCAAACAGACAACACTCTACCTTGTGATGTCATGTGGTAATGCAGAAATTTTTAAAGCTCCATACACTTTCACTATAATCATTTGGATGATTTCAGCCCTGGAATTGCCCATCTCCACTGAACTAAAGGCACAAGGTAGCTGTTAACTTGAAAACTACCACTACATGATCACAAGCTGGAATATTACAAGTATGTTTAAGAGGAGGTAACATTATAACATGGCTTAAAACGACCTTTAAATTAAAATGCCCTTTAGATATTTCTGTAAATTTCTGAAGAACATATTTTGACTTACAGTGCCATATGCTAGGATGTTATCCCACATTTCCAGGCTTGGGTACACACTTTCCAGGTACCACTTGAAAGGCTTACACTTCAGCTTCTTTTTGAGCTGCTCTCTCTCACTTATGTCACCAACGTCTATGCCATGATCCTGTGTACGAGTGTCATATTAGATTCTACAAATATATGTACTAGTCCGCATATCGCTCTGAATTAAATACTCTGCATGCATTGATTGTTTATTTACCTGAACAATGCATACTATTCACGACACTGATTCAAAACAGAAACTAAATTGACTAAATACCCTGGTAATATCCTAAAATAATCTTCACCTGACAGATTCTCAGTCATGTGGGGGAGGAAAATATCACAAGTTATCCAGTTTGCAGTTTTATTACAAATTCTGTTGCAATTATGTATAATAATCAATTTGCAATAATTTGAGCTCTTTCACCCAATGTCATTTTAGCCTATTGACTAGAGTGTTGCATAAGAAGAAAAAAATTGACATCTGCATGTTCTGAGTTCCAGAAAGAACAGAACAGAACATCCATGGTGGTTATGAACTTTGCTGTTATTGACAGCAGAGTTTGTAAAGGGTTTTCATTAAAAAGTGTCATAATCTCCTAGGGCACATATTATGCAAATTTGTGTTTTTTAGTCTTTAACTATGCTATGTTGTCATATCTGAAGTTGTATTTTACTTCATTCACTTGTGTTTTATTAATCCAAATGCAGAATGTGTTTTCAGGACTTTGACATTGCTCAGTACTCCCACCAGTGGTTAAAATTAGTAGAACAGTTTTTGTTTAGACCTACTTTCTGGACTTTATAATGTATTTGTTTTTAATCTATTTGTTTAGCTTTTAAATAGTTTATACATTTGTAAAATGTTGTGTTTCACTTTCCTACCTGCAAAGGGAGGTTCCATGCAATGAGCACATTATTTTTGTATTGGTCAAACCAGGTTTCTGCCACCCTCAAGGCGTTTCTTTTCATGTGAACAGTGAGATCTAAGGCATACGGTTTATGAGAGCGTTCAATATGAGCAATTCTGGAACAGGGCACCACCTCTATACTGCCGCCACACAGCCATACCTGGGCAAAAAAATAAATAAATAAAATAATAATAATAATAATAATAATAATAATAATATCTCATTAAGAAGTACTAAACATAATCTATATCAGAGTTGGAAGTTCTATGGAAGCACCTGCATTCCCATTTACATTTCTCAGAAGGACACATATTTGATATATTTGCTTTATTAAGATCGATTTTCAGAAATGTGTGGTTAAAAAGTACTTCTTAATATCGTAATATGGGCCAATTCACCTGGACGCCTGAGGGCTAAGAAAAATTTGTCTGAGGGCCGCATTTGGCTGCCGGGCCATAGTTTGTACATACCTGCTTTAATGTAAAAAAAAAAAAAAAAAAAAGTGTGTCATGAGTTACAGTGCCAGATCCTCAGATCCACATTTAAAAAAAACACTCACATGAACCCCAAGTTCCACATTCTCTCCACCATAGACAGTCATTCCTCCATCAAGTGCTCCAATCTCCCCAAGGAAAACTCTGTCAGCTACAAAGATTCCCATAAGAGAGGGACTCCTGTGGTTTTGAGAAACAAAACAAAATCAGATATACACTTTCTGAGAGCATAAACATAACTGCACTACATACTTCCCAGGCTGCGACTCGTCCAACATATTGTACCACTCCGGACTAAATGCCTCATAGATGCACCACAGTGCCCAGTCAAATCCTTGGGCAAAAGAGTAATACCTTTCCACATGCAAATCGTCAAAATGGACTTTATCAAACACAGGGGACACCACCACTGTCCTGTCCTCTTTGATTCTGGCCAGCAAAGGCTCTGCCCTATGCAAAACAGAACTATTAAGGATGCGCCAATTCAGATGTTAAGATAAAACATAGTTTAATCCAGTGATTCCCAACCAGATGGTACTTGGAATGGTTTAAAAAAGGTGAAATTGAAGATAAAAGTATTTTTTGTATTAAATATACAATAAACAAGAAATTATAATGGTAATAACTGAATATATGGTGTACTATTAAACACATATATTTCTGTACTTATGTTAGAAGGTACTCTGAGTGTGAGACTAAGCCTAGGGCCAAACTTTTTTCATCAAGGGAAAAATGAAGAGGAGAGCCAATCGAGGGTCATAGATTGATGTTCAGTACAGTGAATAATTAAAATGTATTTGTGCTTAGACCTTCAATGGGACATTATTGGCTTTATCAAGGAAGATTCTCAAAAAAACTTAATATAAAATGGATCAATTCACCTGGAAGCCTGTGGGCCAAGAAAAAATAGTCTGAGGGGCACATTTGGCACCTGGGCCATAGTCTGGACATGTCTGACCTAGGTGATACTTGAGACAAATAGGGTTGGGAGTTATTGCTTTAACCTACCATCCTTCAGTGGCTTCAATGTGGGCATCCAATACAGCCACTGCATCAGCGGTCGCATGTTTCCAGCCTGAGATTCTTGCCTGGGACAGTCCCATTTGCTTTTGATGTCGCACCTTCTTGATGAGACCAGGCCTTTCTTTGTGTATTTCATTAATATACTCTTGCAGCATACCCCCAAGGTCATCTAAAAAGAACTACATGTTAGTGACTAAGAAACCAAATGTAAAGCCTGCATTGTGCTTATTTTGGCCTACTGTTAGTGCTATAGTCATCCACTAAAATTATTTCCTTCAGCAGGTGCCTCGGAGTGCGGTCAATGATGCTTCGGATTGCTCTTTTGATTATTGAAAGAGCCTCATTCAGGTAAATGACAATCACAGCAAGAGAAGGCAAGTCTTCGGGATAATCTTTGGTGAGGCATCTGTAGTGAAGAAAAAGACATTTGTGTCATAGTTTAGAAACATTCAAATAATAAGGGAGAATATGGGAGTAAGAATTGTACTTGACTGGTCTCGTATCTGGCAGCTCTCTGTTCAGTGGCAGCCTGTTGCTCAAAAAAGCATTGTAACCGTAGATTTCGTACAGTCCTTGAGCCTCTCTTTGCTCCTCCAATGACAGACCATCGCCCCATTTTGCAAAAAGCAAAGAATTTGGATACAATTTCTTTGTTTTTATCTGTGGTTTGGCTTTAGTTAGAGGTGGTTCAGCTTTCTTGTGAGTGATTTCTTGAGCCTCAATTAATTGTGCTTAATGAGAAGACATGGAAAAATAGTATTTATCATCACACTGTGCTAGTTTACAATACTTTGAAACAGAAATTCAGTAGAGTGCACTTGTTCATAAGCAAAATAATGGACATCCATACCTAGTTTCTGGAGTGTATTTTGAATTTTGTCCAGTTGACTCTTCAGGCCATCATTGTAATCTATAGCCTTCCGATGAGCAGCAGGAGAATGGATAAAGGATGCATAAAAGTAAAACAAATATGTAAGAAAAAATAATATTCCAACAAGTCCAGCTTTCTTCAAGTGTGCCCTCATTTTAGTTCCTGATCTGTAATTCTTAGCGTCTTTGCCCCTGAACCGTCACTCCCTATTGTTTTACAGCGTAGTAAATTTCTGCTTATCTCTGAAGAAACAGTAACAAGATTAACTAAAGTTGATCAATTGCAAACTTGAGTTAAACACAAAAGTCCTGTGACAGCCTTGTTTTTTCGCTCAAATTTCTCATGCCGATTTGTAAGCGTGGGCTGAAAAGTTTAAAACATATTTAGACGATCACCAGCTTTATCTCATAAAATATTTGGTAAACTCATATTTAATGCAACCACAACTAATACCAGAGAAACAAGATGAATCAACCATACTGGTGATAAAACTTTATTTATGTACACAATACATTTAAAGACAAAGCATTGATAAAGGTCAAATCCTCCTGCAGCTCAGTTAATGTTGAGAAATGTAACCATGAACAACCATGATCTTTTCTTTAAAAGTTGACCGTCTTGGCTGGCTTTGTCTCATCCAGTTCAGCTTCAAGGTAACGGAAGCGGCGATGGCGGCGCAGGATCTCAATTGCCTTTTGTTCTACTGAGGAGGGAGTAATGCCCAGATCCTCTAAACCTGGAAGACCTGGGTACTTCATGTCAGTTATGTGAAACTGAAACAAAAGCACAATTAAATATTGTTTGATACATCTAAAAAGAACACACTTTGCACACACAGTATTTTCTTACTCTGTCAACTTTGTCTGGGGATGTCCAGGGTTCAAATGGGTTCATGGAGAAAACTTTAGCTGCAAGGCTAAAATAATAAAAATAAAGATTAGCTATAGGACTGTTAGAAACTCATCACATTGGGTTGCTCATATCAAGTCAGCATTTAATGGCAACTAAATATCATCTTACTGATAAAGAGGACGAGGGACTGGATAAGGTACAAAGGGCCTGTGTGCCACAGCATAAATATACTCCACCAAATCATGGAGCAGGTAGCGATTGGGACTGAAAACAAGAACATTTTGCATGAATAAAAATTATTTAATTACATTAACGTATAACATTGTAACAAATCTTACCCAACAAGTGCGTAGGTCTTGCCATTAGCGTCAGGATCCCTGACAGCATTTATAATGGCCTTTGCCACATCCACCACCTGCAAAAGGAAATGCTACTTATCTTAAAAGAAATGATTTGCCATAAAGCAGATACAGGCACAATAAAAAAAAAAAAAAGATTGTTTCAGACTACTAGGCCAGTCACTCCAAGGTTCACTTAAACCCTTCAGACATAATAAACCTTAAACTGCCATGCGGTAAACAAACTCACATGAACAGGCTGCTTCACAGTCTTCTTTCCCAGAGCCATCAAGGGAACAGCATTGCCAAACCAGCGCATATCTGAAATATTCCATGAAACAAGGTCAATAATATTATGTTATGTTTATATTATTATCTTGTACTTGTCATTGTAATACATATTAACAATAATAAAAATAGATGATATGGCCAAAAAGTAAACTTAAGGTTTTAATTCCCTTTGGTCACTTTAGGATTACCATTTCACATCTAACTTAAAATAATGCTTACATTTGGAAAAAAAAAAAAAAAAAAAAAAACACACTTTATTATTAACTACACCCATTTCCAATGAGGCATTTAAATGTTGAAGCTCCCTCTACTGTCAGCAACAGCAATGTTATGAGAATTATGAGAATATACATGAATTCATTAAGAAATTGTGAACGCTACACATTTTTAACTGACAACAATGTGGGCAAAATGTATTTTTCAGTGCTCAGAAAAGACACCTTTGGATAAATGGATTAAAGAAGGGGTAGAAAGAAAAGCTTTCTTACTTTCTTCCATATTATTGGAAGTTGTTTCCTCATCAAAAATCTGAAGAGGTTTAAGATGTCATCCATGCATGTTTCAGTATTTTAGGAATCTCTCCCAGACCCTATTCGAAATCCCCTTACAACTATCTGCAGATTATGTGCAATGCTCAGCCCACAGGCCTACGTCACCCCCACATGACAATTCTTCATAAACAAAAACATGATAACTGTACAACAACTTGACAAACCTTAGGGGATGTGTAGTAGTTTAATTAGCAGAATGCACACTGATTGTATTGTGATAGCGCTCTGAAGGGGGAGTGACTTAATGTGCGGGGCAAAGGGAGGGGAAACTCAGAGCACCAAAAAACTAAAGTGAAACTTGTAAAACATGTTAATATGTTGTTTTTGGCGAAAGTCGCATGAATACTCCACAGAAGTAAAATACCCTCTTTTTAATGACACAAGGGTCACTGTATTCAATTCTGCATTTGTTTCCATTATTTTAATCTTATTACAATAACATAGCTGTTGTCCTTCAATAAACAGGCCAAACTATTATCTCAGTGCTTGTCATGCTGAATTCACACTCCAGTTTTCTGCATAACAAGTAAGCTTGGTTTCTGAGAGACAGAGTAAGCTCATTTCACATTAAAAAGTTTGCATGCATCATACCATGTGCAACTAAGGCTGCGTTCAGACTGCAGCCTGAAGTGACCCAAATCTGATTTTTTGGCTTCTATGTGACCTGTATCCGATCTTTTAATGACAGTCAGTTTTCAAATGCGACCCAGGCCACTTGGATATGTGGTCCTGAATCCGATACATATCCGATCTTTTGACATGCGACTTCAGTCTGAACGGCCAAAGCGCATCCATCCAACCTACACGTCATTAACAAGCGACAAACGTCATTATTCTGCGCTGAAGCAGGCGGAAACCGGAACTGTAAAATCGCCAGGTGCTCAATGCTCGCAACCATATTTGGACAACTTCCGTAAACACAGAGCACGCTCGCTGCGGTTGACGCATGGGGTTGACGTCATCGTGTCCTCCAGTGCGCATGCGGGACACTTTCGGGCCGTTTACCGTTCACACTGGAGTCACAGACAAGTCGCATTTAATTGGAAATGTGAACGACCTCACAAAAACATCGGATTTCACAAAAAAATCGGAATTGAGCATTAAGCCCTGCAGTCTGAACGTAGCCTAAGTGACAGTGTTGCTATGGATACTCAGGGGTAGAGCATTATCTCTCCTCAGAGATGGACAGAAGACAGCAACTGGGACTTGCTAATTTAGGCTCAAGATTATATTTAATCCTTTTTTAAAGAGGTGTGCAAAGCCACTGAAGATGGTGCCTTTGTGCACAGGTGACCTCAATTTGACAATTTAGCTATTTTTTTTCAAATAATCTTTTTTTTTGCCCAGCTCTAACTTGAGGTAAATCTTTGGTTTGATATTTTTATTCACAACAATTAATAGGCATAAGAAAATGTATTGAAGCAAACCTATTGACCATAAAAAGCACATCTAAAATGCAATGCTATGCTGTAAACAAACAAAACTGGTATAAATTGCTTCATCTTACTTGCGTAATAATTGAAGAATCTGTCCTCCCTCCCAAACATCTCAGCAGGCTTCATGATGATGGCTTCAGGAAACTCGTCTCTCACAGCAGTCTCTCCAACAGCCTAAGTAATTTCAATGTCAGATTTATGAGCAGCAGTATTACCATAGTGTGTTGTATTAAGACTAAGCACTTTACCTTGTTTCTCAGGTACTTCGATGGACTGCGTATATCAGCATTGAGGTGGGACATGTGCACAAACTTGGTAATGCCAGCCTGTCTAGCTGCTCGAGCTATATGCTGGGGAATGGTAACGAAGACATCATGGAAGCTATAGTTCCTGTAAATGACAATAACAAAATCATTTTACATGATTAAATAACAGCAATAAACAATACAACTAATTATAATAAAATACCTTGTCTCCCATTCTTCGCCCACCAGATTAATGACAACGTTAGAATGCTCTAGAGCACGTTTGATGGAGTCTTTGTCTCGGGCATCCCACTCCTTTGACAAATTAAATAAAAATATCACATTTATGACCATAGCTGGTTGAGGATTTGTAACTATTGGGTTAGATGTGACATGTTATTATGGGGTCAAGTAGAATTCGTAAACACAAGAGGCTGGTCTACAAACCATGAATATAATTTGGCCAAGGTCCCCCATGGGTCTCAAGTGCATGATGTCATACTGATCACAGCGGTGAGGGATGACAATCTGAGAACCAATTCGACCTGCAAGTTAGAAAAAATATAATACAAATAGAAAACAGAAGTGGATTAAGAAGAATAATTAGTGCATTGTTGTTTAAGTTAAAACAAAGGGCTCAGATAGTATAATTTGTCCTGTTAAGTGCTACCTTTTCAACTTACCGAGTCTGTTGACCACATAACGGCCCAAGAACCCGGTAGCCCCAAAGACAGTGGCTGCGATCCCACTGGAGGAAGAGCGTCCCCCTTTGCCTTTGGGGATGACTGCATGATGCAGCTCCCTCCGCTGACCCGAGCTGACACAGGCAAGAGTCCAAACAGGGCTGCTGCTGCCTGCTTCAAGTGCGCAGTGGAAATACATACAGTACTTGAACATCAAAAGCAACAGTATTTTTAAGGTTATCCACAAATGTTAGGTCTACTTTGGTTACACATTGAAGTTAACATGCGTGTAGAAAAGACATAATATTTGCTTACACCGTATCTAAAGCTGCCAAAGCAATTAGCCGTTCACGATAATGCAATAGCAAATAGATAAACAAACAGTAACATAAACACTAAGTGATCACTACAATAATGCATATTTTTTTTGGGAGCTAATGAAAGCACAGACTGTTAATATTTTTTATACAGTCTAATGTAAGCACAGTCTGTTAGCAGAGCTGTTAGCAAGGTCACTTCAGCGTAGTATCTTGTGCTAATGCAATCAGCGTCTAAACACGTCTGTAAACATCTGCGGTACTACTTAACATTTACATATTATTTTTTAAAGCCAACAATTATCTCTATTTAGATGTACTCACCTGAAATCTTTGAAAGGACACTCGCAGGACGGCTTATGAGCGATACAGCCGCCATCTTTCCTGCTACGGCATACAGCTTGGGACAAACCGTATTTTGTCGTTTGCGAAATGCGATGCCTCCAAATAAGTTGTAAGCAGTGTTGGGGAGTAACAGATTACATGTACCGGAGTTACATAATCAGAGTACTTATTATGAGTAACTGTATTCAGTTACAGTTACTGTTTCCATGAGTGGTAATTGGATTACAGTTACTTTGTTGAAATAAATTGATTACATGGCGGTATTTTCCTGTTTTCACATTTCGGCTATATCCCTTTTTTTTGTTTTTCCCGGTAATTCCACTCATTGCCGGACACTAAACCAGGTCCAAACCAGGTCAAAACCAGGACTAAACCAGGACTAAAACCAGGTCTAAACTAAGTCTAAACCAAGACTAAACCAAGACTAAACCAGGACTAAACCAGGTCTAAAACCAGGTCTAAACTAAGTCTAAACCAGGTCTAAACTAGGTCTAAACCAAGACTAAACCAGGCCTAAATCAGGACTGAACCAGGTCTAAAACCAGTTCTAAACTAAGTCTAAACCAAGACTAAACCAGGACTAAACCAGGTCTAAAACCAGGTCTAAACTAAGTCTAAACCAAGACTAAACCAGGTCTAAAACCAGGTCTAAACTAAGTCTAAACCAGGACTAAACCAGGACTAAACCAGGTCCAAACCAGGTTTAAACCTAAACTATCAATAATATTTTTAATCTGGTTAAGTAAAGTCTGGGCTTTTTAATTTTCTTTTAGCAGACAAAATATCTTATGTGAAGATTTCCTCGTCTTTGCTTCTCTACAGCAAACCAAGTAATGCAAAGTATTCAGATTACGTTACTCACTTTAAGTAATTTAATGGATTACATTACAAACTACATTTTGGGGTATGTAATCTGTAATCTATAAGGGAATATATTTTAAAAGTAACCTTCCCAACACTGGTTGTAAGCATAGACCGTATGGGTTAGGGTATGGGTGTAAGGCGTTGAATTTTGTGATGTTAATGCGTAATAACAATTGCTTTGAGATGTTCCTTAAATTATTCCCAATTCAGTGAAAAAGGATTACATTCTTTAAAAATCCAAAAAGAGGACAATAAAAAAGATTAGAACTAAATATTTACTTTCCAGTCTCTTTCAAAGAAAAAGAAACACACACACAAATCTTGAATAAAATTGATGTTGTTGATAGGCTGTTGTGTTGTTATGCTGTCATGTTGTATGTCTCTTTTTGTATTTATTGGTCCTATCGGTACCGTAGCGTGCTCTATTTGTTTGTATTTGATGATTTGCAAAAAAAAAAAAAAAAAAAAAAAAAAAAAAAAAAAGCTTACTTAGGAATTCAAAAGCTTCCCAGTAATTAGTGTTAATGCATCAATATCTTTTTTTAAACATTTTTTTACAGTAAAATTCTACAAGAGCATGCAATTCTCTACTCGAACAGAAGGTGGCGGAATTTAATTGCTACTCAAATGTAAAAAGCCGCTCATGTTAACCACACTACAATTTAGTCTCAATTAGGATCCTTCAAGATTGTAAGATCTTCAGAGACCGTATCTCATTGCTTTAGGTTCATTGTCCATTGTCTCTGTGACATTTGCCAAATTGCCTCACAATGTTATTTTGGTACATTAGGCATTATACACTACTATTACACACATTTATTTCATGAGAAATATAGTAGATGCTAATTGAAATGTACTTGAACTTGTCAAATGAATGAAATCATGTGAAATGTATGTTTAAAACATATTTTATTTTATTTTTTATTTTATAATGGAAATACAAATAATATTTAAAATAGCTACTTTGCATCCTCTGTTTGGGGTTTTGGGACACTGAATTCTAGGAAGGATTGTGAGTAAATGTAGAATTAGAAGATCACTTCAGTGGTGCTGAACACAATGCACAACCATTTTTTGTTTTCTTAGATTTTCTAATTTCATTGTCTACACGCTAGAGTAAAGTGCAAAATTTCTAATACTGCAAGGCACAAACTATTGATATCAGATCTGTTGTTTGTCTAGTACACCTGTATATAAAAATTGTAGGTCTCATAGACTTACAAAATGTGTCCAAAGTCCATACATCATTAACAACAAGTAAAACCTTGTCTAATGTCCTTAATGATATTCTGAAAATGTTGATCCTATAACATCTTCTGCCTTTCACATACACAGAAAATTATGGATAAACTATTTACAATTGTACAAAAACATATACAAATAATGAACTTAGAAACATACCAATAATTCACCAATAATGAGGGAAAAACTAAAGACATTCAAAACCATCAGGCTATACAGATGTGTTACAGCTATATTTATGTTGTAAAAAACACAGAAAAAAAGTATTTGGCTCAGCCGTTATTGCACATATAAATAAAGCATTTAGAAGCAATACAATGACTTATACATGCACTTTTGTTTGTATCTACTGCATTATGAGGATACAAAAATACAATGAAAGTTGAACCTATTTATAAAATAGTTCAATGCTCTGCAAAGACTGGGTTCAGAGTTACAGTATTACAAAGCCATGTACAATCATAGACTGTATAAACAAGTGGACAAAGGGATTGTGGGAGTGTTCAGCTCTAGTCCAATGAAGCTCACAGAGGCTAGACATTTTAGGGGCAAATATGGAGCCAAGATTTATATAAGACAAAATAAGCAAAATAAAAACACCAGAATCATGTAGACTGGGTTAATACAAAGATTTTAAGACCAAAATGAGCAGCCTGACAGCAACAGTTACAGAGATAGGGGTGACTTTCTTTCAGTTCAAAGTGAAATGGAAACAGAGTCGATGGAGCCGGAAGCACCCCCATGCTCACTTCCTATGTGGAACAAGGTGGCTTGCTGATTAGCTATGTCCATTTATATATACAGTCTATGTGTACAATATAACTTCCGAGCCTTGTGCTTCTATTGTGTCTGACCTTCAATATTTTGTAAGGAAGCTGGTCTTAATCATAAATATGGATATCTATATAAATATGGATATATCATCGCTTTAATTTTCTGCTGTAAACATCAGTTTCATTTAAAGCTAACAACACCAGGGACTTTGAGATGTCATTGTTTGAATCTTAACATACTTGATTCATAAAGTATGTTTTTGGTAGATTGTGCCCTTTTCATGCACCATTCAAGTACACTGTCAAATAAGAGGTTTGTTTGACCATTCCAACAAAAATAACTTTTTAAGATACACGGTAGCCACTCACAGATTCTCCTGTGGTTACATGATTGGGGGTAAACACTCGGCTGGTTCTTCACTGCTGTTTCTGTCAGTGCCCAATTCCTCTTGAGGCTTGATTATGATATGGACGGGACGCTCTCCTTCTTGTTGTGTGTGCTCACAAACCTCCTCCTCCGCCGAAGCCCCGATTGGTCGCAGACGCTCAACTGAACTTTGGTTGAGTTTGTCATTAGCAGTTGAGTCTGAAGGGACCTTTAAAACTATAATAAAAAACAAGTATGATTAGATTAAATCATTTCCCATTTGTGGTCATTAGACTGTATATATGTAAAGATACATGGAAATGTTATTGCTTTGGCTAGAATGTCCCACAGTATGGCATTTAATTTATCTATTTCCAGGGCTAAGTTACAAGCAGATCTGCGGAGAAGCTCACTCACTCACAGTGCATGTTTTCGATAGTATTTTTAGACAGTAAAACACCTGTTATTGAATAAATGCAGCATAGATGAGTTTAATTCCATACTGTGAAAACTTTCAGGCAAAGCAAAACAAGTTTGTGGTGGAAAAGTTAAACAGTGGACCTTTAATTTCATATTTGTGGTCATTATAAATATATATATTTTTACCTGGCTTGCTGCTGTTCTGCTTTTTGTTGTCAATGATGCTGTCTGTGTTGGTTGAACCGTCATTTGTTTTCTTCACAGTTGGCCTGGTTCTGGGTCGAACTTTGTTGAAATTACCCTCGAGGATCCACTGATGCTGCAGCCCCTCATCTGGAGTCATCCGCTTGGTGGGATCCCAACTGAAAAAAACAAAAAAAACAACAACATTTCGTCACGCTACAATAATCCACAAAAAAACAACAACATACAAACAGAAATAGAAATGGAAAATTAACTTACGTGAGGCAGCGTTGAATAAAATCCAAGAACAAAGCATCATTTGTCTTCAGTGCCTCTGACATCTCTTTTGAACCAGGTCTTCGTTTCTTTCCTTTGCTGTTGGTGATGTTCCTTGGATTTCCCTTTGAATCTGACATTAAAATAATTTAGATGAAGTTAGTTAATTGGGCATAAAGACTATCTTGAAGGTGCACTATGTAACATTTTGGTTGGGAGTCCGTCACCTGTTTGTTTTTAGAATTATGTCATTGATATGCGTAGAATGTTCCACAATATGACATTAATAACCTCTAACTTACAATTATTAAATTACAGGTTGTTTTATGGCAGAGAAATACAGAAAAACAGGCATTCTGACTGTGAGCGGGGTTGCCTCTCCACAGATCTGACCTATAACTTGTTCTGGTTTGGTCTCCATGAAGAAGTGAAGTTTAATATTATACTGTGAAACATTCCAGATGAAGCAACAACATCCATGGAGAAAAGCATTTGATGGACCCTCCACCAGAAAAGTTACACAATGCACCAAAAAAAACCTGACAAACTTACCAAAAAATAGCCTCCTCCTTGATGCAGATTGAACAAAATCATTAGGAGGCATTCCCAAAACCTGCAAACATCAGGACATCTTCAGCACACACCTCAGTCACCAACTTTTGTTTATGAGGGGAAAAGAGCCTGGGTACCTCCATTATGCAGGCAATTTGTTCCACCTCACTCTCTCCGGGGAACAGAGGGTAGCCTGTGTACAGCTCAGCCAGGATGCAGCCCAGGCTCCACATGTCGATAGCCATGCTGTAGGGGTGACCCAGGATGACCTCCGGGGAGCGATAGAAGCGACTTTGGATGTACGTGTAAACTGTACAGAAGATGAATTATATATTAGCGAGAAATGTTTCACTCAAGACAAATAATCATACACATGACATCCGTAACAAAAACAGTGGTGGAAAGTAAAAGTTGTAAAGTACTCAACTTAATGATGCATTTGTTTCTATGGATGTGTCACTGCTCTGCCTGAAATGTTCCACAGTATGATGTTAAACAGCTCTACCTTAGACATATTCAAGTACAGATGGTTTTATAGCTGAAAAATACCTACAAAAACAGGCATTCTGACTGTAAGTGGGGTTCCCTCTCCACAGATCTGACCTGTAACTTGGTCTGGTTTGGTCTCCATGATGATAGAAAGGTTTAATACCGTACTGTGAAACATTCTAGACAAAGCAACAACATCTCCATGGAGAAAAGTGTCTGATAGGCCCTCCGCCAGAAAAGTTAAACAATGCACCTTTAGGTAAAAAGTATTAGATACTATCCGTACTTTAAAGTACATTTTAAAGTGGATTCTTTTTACTTCACTGCATCTGAGAGTACTTTCTACTCCACTACATTTTTGAACTGCACTGAAAAGTAAAAATATTTTTTATTATTGTGTGAGGCCTGCAGAAAAGGCTAAGGGTTTATTTTTGACATGTTCATAATTTGAGCAAACAGAAAGATACAAAGAAAAACAGCTAGAAAAAATTCAATTGTTTCTGCACAAATCACTACATCTGCAACCTCATAAGACCTTAAAATATGAAAAAAATACTTTTACTTTTTTAAACGGGTACTTCAATACTTTTACTCAAGTAGATTTTTCCATGTGATACTTTTACTTTTACTAGAGCATTTTTTCTCTTCAGTATCTGTACTTTCACTTAAGTAACAAAATTCAGTACTTCTTCCACCACAGTACAAAACAATCTTTCACTACACTGAAACTGAGCACATGTGTTTTTTGACTACAGATGTGTTCCAGAGACAGTGCGGACTGACCCACCTCTTTGCTGCTCGTAACAACTCGATCCAAAGTCGACCACTTTGATGTTCCCAGGCCCTCGCTGTGACAAAAGAATGTTCTCCTGAAATGAAAAAACAAACAAATCAGATACAAAAACTTGAAATTTTAAATCACATTCCAATGCAACCCCTAGTTATAAATTTAAGTATAAATCAGTTATACATACAGCTTGTCTTACACTTTTAATCTGACCTTTTACTGTTCCGTTATATCTCTTTGTAACTGTTTTGTATTTTGAATTGCATTTGCATTGTTCATTAATATGCAGTGTCACTATCAAATAAATAAACCAATACAATTCAGGATTACACGAAATTAAAAGAAGAGATCAAGAGGTTTTCTGCCTCTGGTTTAATGTCCATAGGTGTTACAAAAGTCTGCAGCCTCTTATTGACCCTTATTGCCACTTATTTCTGTGATAAAATGTGGTCCATGAATGTTAACAGGAGACAGGCTCAGTACCGGCTTGAGGTCACAGTGGATGATTTTCTCCTTGTGCAGCATTTGCAGACACCTGAGCAGTGCGTGAGTGAAGCGACGAATCAGAGCCAGGCTGAAGCCCTGGAAGTTGTTCTTTTTGATGAGCTCATATAAGTTCACTCTGTTGAGAAAAAAAAAATTACATAAATATAAAAAACAAAAATGGGATTTCAAAAGCACTTTTTATAATTTCATCCTCATCATGAATAGTTAGAATAATAGATAGCTAAGTATTTGATAATAAGAATGCCATGAGAATAAAATTTTGTAAAATAACTTTTACTCTTGTACCAATGTTTAGACAAACTTCATTCATCCACAAGGGAAATTATTTACAGGAGATACTTTCAAATCAATATCTTTCTATGGGAATCCTTTCTGGATTAATACTTTTCAAGATATTTAGGATATTTTTAAAGTCTTTCCTTCTGTGTATTGAAACGGTATAAATGCATACTCCATATTTTTTATTTCTAATTTATTCTTTTTAATTTGTTGTTTATACCTGAGACTGAGACTACAAAGGAATTTCTGTTTTAAATTTGCAAAACAAATAAACAGATATAGTTGTTGTGAGTCTTCATAGGCATGTGAATAGCTGCAGACTATAGAAGAACTCTCCTATTTATACTCTCACTGTCTCCATATACATGCACCCATTATAGTACTCATCTCCAGAGGAAGACAGAGACAGACCGTTTGCTCCTGCTATTTCTTGCTGCTTGTGATAAGCATAAACGTCTTTAGCCTGTGTAATATGAGCCTTCACACCATGAAGCAAGAAGGAGTAAAAGATAGGGCCCTAATCAAGGCTTTAACTTAAGGGTTCAGTGACTGTAATGTTAGACAAGGTAGCAGTCCAAGTCGTCCTCTAAAGGTCATTCAGCCAAAGTGAGACATAAAACTATCTGCTTCAAATAGATGGGTATAACTGGGAATTCACGGTGATCTATGAGGCTACCACGAAGCAATTAAGTAGTGGGAAAGATGGTCGCAGAGTTTAATCTGGAGTTTCACTATGGTATGTACTGACCCCAGGAGCTCAAAGGAGATGCAGAGGTGATTTCTGAAGTAGAAGTACTCCTTCATGTGAATGACGTTGTGGAGATTGTCTTTGTCTTTCTTCTTGAGCACATCCAGGATCTTCAGCTCGACCAACGCCTGGTGATGAAACCTGCAGTCACAAGATAGACATAAATTATAACACAGCTCTGGTGAGGATTAAAAATATCTGTACTGGTTTACTAAGAGGTGTTGACTGACATACGCAAAAGCCCTTCCGTGTACATTAAATAGAGCAGTATATGTGCTCTATAAATACTAGACCATATACAATCTGTTCAAGGAAACTAGATCTGAACAAGGCTAACAAGGTGGAGAGCATGGGGGCAGGCCTGTGGTAGTTTGCACTCATTTTGTTTGCTGCATAATTCAAGTCGTGGTAAAACCGAGTGGCTGCTGCATTTAACAAGCAGGAATTCACCGTGAGACAAACTAAGGGCAGACAGGTAATGTAACACCCCAGGGTGCCGACTTTTATCACGCTAAAAAGGGATCTGAAATATTTGGCAGACTGAAATGTAACAAGATACAATATCTCAGATGAGGGGAGGAGTTGAGTGAATGCGAATGTGACAAATAACACATTCTGCCTTGAATCTCACAAGTACTTGACCTTGAAACGTGTAAAACCAGTCCTCTCTGATTAAGGATTTACAGGGGATATTATCACACATATTGAGTAATTTTTATACCTTTTCTTATTGCGGATCATCTTGATGGCTACCAGCTCATTGTTCTTGTGGTCGAGACATTTTAGGACCTGCCCAAAAGAGCCTTTCCCAATGACTTCAAGCACCTCAAATCTGTATCCGATGTGGTCATGAAGCACCTGAAAAAGCATCAGGAAATTAAACATCAACTTTTAACAGAAAAGATCCAAGGAAACTTAATGAAGAAGGCTGATATTTTGTATTATAAATTTAACAAATTAACCATTTTTTCTTTTTCTTACTCACATGCAGTGCTTGTATAATTAGTAGCAGTAATTTGCACTGATTTTATCTTTCTGTTTGCATGCGGATGTTGTAACAGCTGCTCTCTTAGATACCCCATAGCACTGCTGTAATCACCAGTCACAGCCCTGACAGTGGCTTAGACATATAAAGCCTCCATGCTCTATTATTCAACCCCAACAGGATGTCCTTTACATAATGATATAAGACACCACTGCATAAATTGTTCTTGACAAAACTAAAACAACCGATCATGAACTAAGATCACATATTGTACCACGAAGTACAATAAGTGTGTTACTGGATGGACTCTAGAAGGATTAGGGTCAAAGTAAAGCATCTGGTCATGTATATTTCATTGTTCCAAGTGATGTAAGAACTGAACATACTCAGCACTATGTAAGAAAGCTTTAGTAAGAATAGCATACCCTTATATAGCTCCCGTGTTCATCATCATATCCCGAGTTCTGAGGTGCACCTTGTGACCCTTCAATCTTCTGTGCTCCCAGACCCAGGAACCAGATCTCTGAGTAGTCCATTATCTCCTCTTGTTCAAACTCCGTCAAACGCTCTTGGAAGTTCTTCAGTGCCTCTGCAACGGGGTGGAAGAAGAGGTGGACAGCATGAGTCACTTACATCGAATTCATACAGATAACACACGTGCCGAAAGCCAAGGACTGTGAATCAGAATCAGTGGAATATTTTTAGTTTAATGCTAACATGATCTAATTCTACATGCGCCCATACCAGCAGGAGTCATTGGTAGCCTCAGTCCTTCATATGCTTTTTCTTTCTCTAGTTTGTTGCTGAAAATCTTGTTGTTGCGTGACACAGGCACTTTATCCAGTGTTGCTCCAAATCGCATGGCAAACTGCTGAGCTGGTTTCGGTCTTTCCTCCTTTTGAAACATTCAGTCAAAAGTATAAATAGAGGAATAATGTCATGTCAATCTCTATTTCATTTTTGCACTGTTCCTCGTTATGGCCTCTTGAACAAATAAATAAAAAGTTTGTCTAGGTCTAATGTCTAAGTCTAATAAAGAAGTAATCAAAGTAATACACTGATGGCAACCAACCATGTGAGTCTGGAAGTTGTTGAGAGTCCCTTTGGAGGAGATTTGGGGCAGGATGCTGTCTGTCTGCTGGTGCTGGTTTTTGGCATTACTGACCACAACTTGGACCACGGGAGGCTCAAGCTGTGGTAAGGTTCCTATGCCAGGGCCAAACTTCTGCAACAAACAGTTATTTTAATTAAATTAGACATTCCATTAAGACAGTCATGTAGATTATATTTGATTTAGCTAAATTATCTTTATTTTGCTAAGTTAGCATCTGGCATGGGCTGCAGCCAATTGGCATTCACAGCAAAGGCTCAGGTGACCAGGACCCCCCACAGGCAGCCGCTGGAATTACGGACCATAGTGAGCGAGAGAGAGACAAAGCCTGTCTGCGGCCTCTCTGTGGGAGAGGTGATGAGCAGCAGCCGCCTTTCTCTAGCTGCCATCCTACGTGCTTCTGAAGCAAGATTACATGTGTCACAGCCTTGCAAGGCTATGACCCAGCAATGAGGGCAAATATAGACTTCACTTCGTGGCCAACTGGACTAAGAAAAAACTAAGAGTTGAGCCTTATAGGACAAAGTGGGTGACAAAGTACTAAACCATCTATATAACAGATCTATGCAATAAAGCATTGATATTTCAAAATAGAATTGGTTGTGTATAATTTCATTCACATGTTAAGCGCTGCTTGGGATGTGGTTAAGATGCATAGAGATAGGGCTAAATATAGTCATGAGCACCTGCCACAACAGGCAAAGGAAGTAAACACAGCTCCGTGCCGCTACAAGATTGGGCGCACGCTGCTTGAATTAGACACGCTTGTATCAGTCATCTGGCACTATGGAGAAGTCTGATGTGTGAGACCACAATACCCCTCACAAGGCACTGACAGATGTGGACAGTTGCAACTATGTTTGTTTTGGACCAAAAGGGAAGATTCTAAACAAAGATATGCGGACAGGGACACACAGGCATGTACACAAACGTTTAAAATAGTACTGACCTGTGTGCATGACCGGTTTGATCCGAGGCGTGATCCATCTGATAGAATTCTGTGGGGATGAGGGAACGCCTCTGGTCTAGACGCCTGGACAAGAACAAGAGCTGTTCATTAGTTACACCTACAAATGACTTTGATGTTCAATATTTATGACAACTGTCCTGTGTCCAAATCATTTCCCTTGTGGATCAATAAAGTTTGTATAAGTCTAAGTCCCTCCACTGGTCATGTCTCCATTGTTGTGTCTATTCCTGTGAGTGAATGCGGGGGTCTGCACATGTGCACATTGTAGTGGAGTGGATTCACACGTGCAGATGACTCTCTTTAACACTTGACTGAACAGGTTAGAAGGGAAACTATACAAAGCCTCAGAGGCTAATCTAAAAAAACACACAGTGACATTTGGGATGATTGTGCACAGAGCCAGACACGTGCCGTTTAATCAGAGGGCAAGAACATATGGGACAAACAAAGCTAAGCTGCGTATGGAGATGGCACTCGGCCATTACAAAGGCTTTATAAACTGTAACTGGATTTTTAAAGTTTTATTTAACCTGAAGGAGTCCTAATCCTAACCCCTGGTCACGAGGCATCAACAACACAACCTACATGTATCTGTTGTGTGATGATGATTCTATCTATCTATTGAACTACACACTTGTCCTACAGTTATTATAATATTGAGAAATCAGATACATGTGTAGTATATTAATGAGTGACGTTGTGATTTACAGTAGATGGCTATTATTTACCACATTTACGGGAATACAGCACCGATCTCCGAAAAAAGACTCATCCCTTTGTGCTTATAAGAAACAGTTGTCTCCCTCGGGCTGTGGATAAAAACACCACTCCCTGTTTGGCCTTTATGTTGACTTTGGGCCTCAGTAACACAACAACAATATACTAAGGAGAGGAGCAGTAATAATGTAGTCATGGTTCAGTATCGGGGTGTGAGAACAAGCCATGTAGGTCAGCGGTGCAGCTTGGTTTCCCAAAACATCAGTTACTGTAAGCCTGGCTAATGAGCCCTGAGCCACTGCGCACTTCAAACATCACAACAGCTAACAATTGCACAGACAGCACAGATTTACCTCTGCTATTTATTTATTTTATTTTATTTTTAACATCCTTGTGGTGAGAGTGGAGAAGACCTTTGAGGTTTCAGTGGAATCCTCTCAGTGACAGAGTGAGAAAAATATGAGCTCTTTAAGGAAGTTCAGGGTCACTTGGTCAAAGCAATAAAGCTGCCATAGGATAAACGTAAACGTAAACAAACACAGATACAGTTAAAGAGTGTTCACTCAGATCACAGCTGTTAGGCAGAATGAGTATTTTTTTATGCATCTAGTCTCTCTTTCATAAAGCACACTCTAAAATATTTAAATGTCATGTGCTGACAGTAAAATGTGCAATTCCATTACGCAGAGGCTATAATTCAATTCCTGAGTAAAGTGTGAAAAAAAGGCTGAAAACATATAGACTTACAGAATCTGTCAGCGCACAAACACTCAAGTAAGTGGGCTACAACGACTGAAATAGAAGTGGATCATATTTTTCCTTAGCACCTGGTTCACAGTCAAAGGAAACAGATATAGGGAAAAAAGTTTTATGAGGTTGTTATCTAATGTTATCAGATCGGACTATTGTGTGGAATAAAACTTGTTTCTCGGCAAAGACTGAATCCTTAACAAAGGTGCATTCTTTTAAACACAAGGCAGTTCCTTTCGCATGAAACCAACACAACAGACACGGAGTCGATAAATAACCCAATAAAAAACGTCTCACCTTGTTGTTTATTTCTGGCAACATGTTGAGTTTTGAGTCTGTGAAACCGCTGGACACCAGAGAGATTATAATTATACAATCCAAATGAGAAGCATAGTATCCAAGTCTTAAAAGTCCCTCTAAGGTCCAACAGTTCTGATGAGGTGAACTTGCAGGTGTAGGCTAAATTATAAGGATGAGTAAATTCCGATGAGCAGAGCTCCGGAGACCCAAACCTGCCGAGCCGCTGGTTTTACACGGGCAGAATAAATGCGCTGTCGTCAGAGGGAAGATTAGTGAGCGCCACAAGCTGTTGAGGGTCTCTGCGCCTTGACGCGCACCGCTAAGACACGGCAGCCACCTGTTCAGGTTTCTGCTGCTGACAGCTGGGGCTTTCCCGATATAGATCTGTTTTTTTTAATCATTTGCGGTCGTCCTCCTCCGCGGCGCACTGAGCTGAGCTGATGCTCCCTCACCGACGCCGAACACCGACGCACGCAGCGCGCACAGCACTCCACTCACGTCGGAAATGGCAGAAGCAGTGCTTATGTATGAAAAAGCTACTTGAGTGAAGGTGGGGCCGACAGTTTTTCGATACTGACGTAGTCTACTCGGTTTACTAGTGAAAAAAATAAAGTGCATAAAATAAAACTTCCTGCGATAGGCAGGAGCATACGGATTTCATCTGGGTGACCTCGAACAGCGTTGACACCATGATAGACTACATGTGTTAATTCAGGGTGCATTTAGTCACAGTTCCATTTGAGCCTAATCTGACAATAAAGTGTGTACCCTACCCACTGGCTGGTAACGATACCAACGCCATTATGGCCAAATGTAATAAGATGACATTAGTCTTCAGCTAACCCTGGTCCTCACCGCAGGGGTCAAACAACTCGTTTGCTCATGGGCAGTAAAAGATATTAATATGATTAACGACTGTTATGTAAGCTTGTTGGTCACTTTAGCAATCAGAGCCTTGAGGATGCTGCCTTGTCCTTTAAAACCAGCTCAAGAAATAGAAATAATTTTAATAGACAATTAAATTAAATGCAATGAACTCAAGTGTGTACTGATTAGTGGACTGTGGCCCCTGCTGCTGGAGGAGCCCATCAGGGTGAAGAGGCATTTGACTCAAGCAAAGCTGCAGGAAGTGAAGGCCCCTTTAAATCCAATGTGATTAATAATCACAAGGGCGGCCGAGGAGGCTTGTATCTTATACAACATGAGATTACCCTGAGATGACCAGAACTCAATATGCTTCACAGTTCAGCCTATTGAGGCTGTGGAGGGATTGTCACTTCCGTTCAAACACAAGTGTCTGACTCAAATGACCATCAATAGCATTAACAACTTCAAGTTCCTTTTAAGTTCTAACACTGATTCAGTAAAGTCAAATCTACCATTATGCCATTATCTTTCCTACTTCATAAAAAGTACAGGTTCCATTCATAGATGCAGAGAATTTTGACAAATGTTGAACAATGTTACTTTATCAGAGACTCCATAAAAAGCAACATCTAAAACAATGGAAACATTAATAGATAAATAGCCTACACAATGCCCATTGTGAATTCATTTAATGTACCCTGCCAAGCCTGCCACATTGAGAGAGTTACTCTGTGTGGAGTAAGTTTCCCAGGAAACAAAGCATGAGGAGATGTAAATAGCCTATTATGAATCTATGCCACAGTGATATGTTATATGATATTCCACAGCTTCTTAGGCGTATATCATAACATATACAGTATTATATTGACTTATAGACAGGAATCAATTACCTAATTAAGTTCATAGCATCACATAGGCCTGTCATGAATGAAAACCAATTTTGAAGCACAATATATTGAAACAAATTTATGCCGTTGTTAGAATAACAATAAAGCAAGGTAATCCTTATAAAAACTTTTTTCAAATGTACAGTATCATTAAAAGGCCTAGCAAGAGTAGCAACAGCTAAATAACAGAATGAACCAGTAATTAACCAGACGTCACTCACTTATTCAGCCTTTAACAGCTCAAATGTTATTGCATTACAACAAAAATACCCCAAAGTTCCCAAATTTTACAAAGAAATTGTACACATGATACATATTTATCCCCATATTTCATATTGAACGATAAATTGATGCAGTAATTATCATGACAGTCCAAGTGTCACGTTTAAACTTACCTCTGGTTGAACCCTGTTTCTGCCCCAGCAGCAGCAGCAGCCCTGGAGTCTAAGGCCACAGCAAACCAACAAGCTCCTGTCTGTCCACATGGTACAGTTGCTCCATACTCCCACCAGCTCTGCACGGGCCCCTCAGCCTCCACTCATCAGACAAAGCACCACTTTAACTCACACAGGTACATTTGCATCTGAAATCATGTAACATCTTTGGAAAAGTAAGTCAATGGATCCACGATATTGTTGCTTCAGTTTTCTCATATCATGTTCTTATATTCCGTATTCGTCGTGTCTTGTTTTATCTCCCCCTCAGCTCTCCTCCAGGATGCAGGCTGCCAGTGAAGCTGCTGATGCGGTGGTTACAGGCAGTGAGGCAGAGCTCGTCTTGACTGGTGTTAGTGACGCACAGACACAACAAGGGACCCATCCGGAGCTGGGGACACATCAGCAGTGCTTACTGGGGCCTCCGGGAGCACGAGCTGAGGAAGAGTTGAGCCAGAGGGTACAGACACTGGGAGGAAGTCAGACTGGGACAAGTGCAGTTCTAATGGGCCTCCCTGGAGGTTCAGAGCTGCCACTGTATCCTGGAGACAAAGCCTTTGGGGCCGTCACAGTCCACTGTCCCTCACTTCTCCTCATCACCTCCTCCATCGCTGCTCTCCACCTGCTCCGCTGCTGCACTACGCCCTGTGGGATGCTACAGTGTTGCTGACAAATAGTGCATAGGTGAAAGCTTATCCTCACAGACCGCAGCCCTGGCCCTGTGCCAGCTTCATGCAGTAGCCTACGAACAAGTGGACTTGAACAAGCAGAACAGACTATAGAAAAAAGGTTTAATCATTGTCATTTACACAAAGTAAATTATTATCCATGTTGGGAAGTAACTGAATACATGTACTGAAAGTACAGTTACTTTTTCATTTGGTGGTGGTAAGAATACAGTTACTTTCCTAAATTAAAAGGAATACATGATGGTATTTGATTACACAACTGAGGCTTCAAACTGCACAAAATTATTGAGAAAAAGAGAAAACACAGCTCTCACAGTGGGTGCATGTGTGATTTTCTGTGTCTAATTTGGCATACATTAATGCATAACAACAAAAATTAAAACTGTTTTCTCACTGTAACATAATGCAACTCGATATAAAAGTATTTTCAGTATTCAGAATACAGTACTCTGTTTGACCATATATCAGAATACATTTCAAAATACATTTTAATGCAGGTATTTAGTGTTCTGTAACTAAATGCCTTTTCAATATTCTTCCCTTCACTGCTTATTATTGATATTTGTCAAAGGTGAAAGGTGAAGCCTTATATTCTATCCCTGAAAGCTTTACTGTTTGATGACACATGCCCAATCTCGCTTTACATTGAGAAGATATTCTAACTAGAGTTAAGCTATTTGCGAGGCACGCAAGTCTTTAAACTTTTGGTATCTTGCCGACACCCTACAGAGAAAAACATATCATTTTGCGGCTCCTGTCACATGGATACTTCCAACCTAGTTCTAACTGTGCACAGTACACAAGAATACATACAGTAGGGCATTTAGAATGGTGGTGCAGCAACAGCAAAATAGCATGAATCTTTTATAAATGTTTTAAAGAATCACTAATACATGTCTTGTGCATAGTTATTGTAAAAAAAGCGCCTCAGTTTTTGAAGTCTAAAAACACTAAGATAAAAATTTTTTAATTGTTATGCCAAAAGAAAAAAAAAAATCTAACAAAAAAGTGGTAAATGTAATCTCAAGGAAGATCTTGCTTGCCCAAGTTCTTTTCACCAAAAATAAAATCACTAAATCACCGCGTTTCGGTGACAGAAAAAATGTGCCTATTTTTGTAACATGGCTGCTGTGCTACTGTATTTTATTACTGCACACTCAGCTCGCCTTCATGCCTCCAGCATTTGGGGATTCGGCTGGCACGTGCTGACTGTTATTCCCACAACAGCCAACAAGGTTTTACAGAAAATATCTGAGGTATATGCACAGTTTGTCTACACAGTTTTATTTTACACAAGTTGGGGTTGGGGTTAAACGTTTTCCACAGTGCAGAGCCATAGAGACAGCTGTGGAGTGAGTGAACAGCAGGTGGATAAGAGACCGCAGCAGCCGGTCGCACATTCATTCCAACAAGGGCTGAATGACCTGCTCACAAGACAACTATAATCCATCAGAGCACTGAGATGGGCCACAGCTCCAACACTGCCGTGAGCCAGAAGAAGTGGCCGGAGAGGTGCTGCCAGCCATAACAGACCGTATCTATGTCAACAGTGGTTTGCCAAAGAGCACTCTGGGAAGCTTGACCGTGGTTGGCAGGTGGACTCAAGCATCTGCACCTTTACACGTGCTCAGGAAGAGAGCTCAGTGACAGCCGGTTAGATATGGGTCAAGTTCACAAGTTTACAAGGCTTACTAAGGTGATAATGGACCCATTACAACTAATCAAAATGTCAGACATCATAACAGTTTGCAATGAGCACCAAGTAAGAGCATATAAATTACATCCTTGAGACTACAATGTCAAGTAGCATCTCTTAAATAAGAAACTAAATAAAAAAAAATACAAAGTTGAACTAACTAACTATACAAGAATAAATCTAAGAGAAGAAAGATGCTACTGAACAAAAACTAAAATCTGAACTCATCCAACTTTTTCAGGCTGATTAGAATCTGACCCAGAGCTATGAAAATGATTTGGTATTATTGCATGTATATTATTACCGATATTTTCATCGAGTTAGCTCTTAATATTGGGGCCAATAAATAAAATTACATGTGTAAGCTCTCATCATTCAAAACATATTACATCTGCTGTACTACTATATAAACATGTTATAGTTTAAGTACGACAAAATAAATAATCACAGAGGATCAATATATCAGTCTAATTTGCGAGATCCATTTAACAGTGCTATTATCTTTCATGTCATTGTGTCTTTATTTCATAGTAGCACAATGCTCAATGGTCAGCAGTATTCAAATACTGGTGTCAGAATTTTAAGGAATTATATTATAACTAATAAAGTAGTATGGCATGTATGAAATATTTTATGCATATTTATATGTTATGAAACTTGACTGGCCTCTGTATTTACTCTGTCATCTTATTCTCTAATCATTTAAAAAAGTAAAAAACAATAATGCTCAAAGAACTAGTGATATATATTTTTTAGGCCTGTCACGATACGAAATTTGAAATGCAATAAACAACATATT